ATTTTGGCTGGATCTGCCCTCATACTTACTGCTTTTAAGTCTCCATATTTCCTTGTCATATTCTTTATTTCAGTACTTCTATCCTGAAGATATTTTCCTCCAATCATTGCAAGACCAAATACAATCTTCTGTGCAGAACTCATGGGTTCATCTTGTAAAAGATTAAAAGGCAAAGTATAAATTTAAAAATAAGTGCTCAATGATTGCATGTATGATTGCATGTGGCTACTGCAGAGTCTTGAAAGTCAAATGTTTATGAAATCAAACATTTATATTGATGTTATTCACAGATAGTATTTTGTGCTGGTTTTACAATAATTGCTAAGGCATTTTACTTTCAGTCTAGAATGCGGAATTGGTTTGAAGTTATAGATTCAGCAACATTGGGCTTCCCGTGGTGTTACGGATGGACTAAGGACATAACTTGAATCATATTGGCTGTAGCCATAACTAAGCCGGTGAATCGTTGTGTCATTGTACAAAGTACGTGCTGCAAGTCCGTAAAGTATGTTTCCCACTCAAACCAAAACCATCTTAATCAGAGGGGATAGATCTAAACCTGCTTATTTGCCGATTGTTTAAACCAATGTAAAATATTGGGAAAACCTGAACACAAGATTCACTTACTGTATTTCATATTAAGCATTTGTTGTCCAACAGTGGATCCCTTGTTATAAACAGAAAACTGTTGACAAATAATGTCAGTGAGTAAGCCATGCTTTGTAGGTAATCATCACAGGGGTTGTTCCGGGAATGTATAACTTCTGGAACTACACATTTTAACCAACTAAACAAACATACCTTCCAAATCACAGTTCTCAGAACAGCATTCAGTTCAGGTTCTATCTTCGACAGCATTCCAGCCTACAATACATTCAAAAAAATTATATAGTTAAGATAGTATGTGCATGCTGATTGGTTGAAAACTGTGCTTTATTAGTGAATGAAACACAGTGCTTACGCTATCTGTGCACGCGAAGTRCTGCAAGATCCTGAGACTGTCTTTTTTGGGTAAAGAAATTAAGAACCGAAATAAGATTAATARCTATATGAAATGAATAAAACAGCTTTTTCCATACTCCGTTCAGTAACTAAAAGCACTTAGGAAGTGTCGTAAGCACTAGCAATTGATGGCAATTTTACCTCGCCTACGGCTTGTGCTTCTCCTTACACTTCTTTTGTGATTACATCACTTCCTGCRTGCTTCATTACTGACCAGAACACGGAAAAAGCTGTTTTATTTGTTAAATAAAACCCAGAAAAACACCAAATTTTTTTCATGGGTAACCCGTCAGGAGACCAAGAAAAAAATTTTTTTGAAAAAAGGCGGGAAAGCTAAACATGTGTGAGAGAGAAAAGAATTATGTTTCTATGATAATAGTTCTTTGATCATTTGTATTTCTGTATTTATTATGGAAGAAAAAAATAAGATAAAACATCCCGACTCACATGGAAGAACTTGAAAGCCTTTGTCAGCTGACTTCTCAAAACACTAACTATTTCTCCATCTAACAGCGTTGCGTCCAGCTAAAAAGAACAGAAATCCATAAAGTTATATTCCAGGAGATGATTTGAGGTGTTATGCATTTAATTCATGGTAATTTTACCTGGTTCACGCGTAAAACTCTCTGCTCTCTCTYAGCTGGCTGCTTCTTGTCCGCCATGTTTGTCTCTTTAGAACCAGGACTACGCGGTTGTCTGCTTGGAGAATGATGGATTGGAATGGAATGGAATCAGGATTTTACGGATTTGTAAATTCATAGATACGTCGTGTTTTTGACATCGGAAAGATAGAATGATTTATTTTGGGTAATTTCCTTCGATAAAACCTAACATGTTAAATTCCAGTTCGATATGTGATCATGAGTTTTCCGTGCCCTGACTTAGATCAGCCCAGAGGTTGTTCAAGGTTCAATCTGTGAGCTAGCCGTGCCCTGACTTAGATCAGCCAAGAGGTTGTTTTAAGTTTCAATCTGTGAGTTAGCCTTGCCCTGACTTAGATCATCCCAGAGGTTGTTCAAGGTTCAATCTGTGAGTTAGCCGTGCCCCGACTTTGATCAGCCAAGAGGTTATTTCAGGGTTAGATCTGTGAGTTAGCCGTGCCCTGACTTAGATCAGCCCAGAGGTTGTTTCAGGGTTCAATCTGTGAGTTAGCCATGCCCTGACTTAGATCAGCCAAGATGTCTTTCAATAAGGTTCGACTGAATAAAAACGTTTGTGGCCATAGATTTTTTGGAAAGAGAAAAAGAGTGCAGGTCTCAGTCTGATTATCCATTCCGTCGGGTAAGTACATGATAGGTGCGCAAGTAAGTAAATTGACCAGAGCCTCATTTTTGGCAATTTGGGATCAAGATTGACTTGCGCACGTCATGGTACCCGTCAATACAGTATTGACATAATGCTAAATTTCAGTGTATAGTAGTTCATATTGCTTTGTGTTGGCACATTACACACACTCTACAAGATAGACCCCATGGGGCTACGTCTCGGCTTAGAACTTAGATTTACTTAACATATTAGTTAGCCAGTCGATAAACAGTCCCAAGAGCACAGACCAAGCAAGCGCTAAGCCTCCTTAGTGTGTCTATACGTTGCGCACCCTTACAGTACACACATCGCGAATAATTCTCGTGAGATTCGTGTGTAGCTCAAATTTTGCTGAAAAAGAGCTTGTAAGAGGGTGAAATTGGAGTGCGCAACGGACGCACAATTCCACTTTAAACTTTATGCTATTTTCAAGTTGAAAGGTGTGCGCGGAAAATTATAACTAAACCTTTAAACTCTATGCTAATTCTTTACTTCGACGAAGATCTAACGTCCAAAATAACCTTAGTAAAGTCAAGGCACACCTATTTTATTTACATGTTACTCAAGTTCCGTTACATATTATTCCCAGCATTTAGACTAGCTTTATAGACCGACGCGCAGCTCAAACTAAGCTTACTCGCTAGTTTTCTTTTATAATCCTTACCTTCTTTACCAATATTTCAAATTTGTCAAAACTAAAACTTTTAGCAAGGGTTTAAGCACAATAAWCCGCTATACATGAGATCATAAGGAGTACGTGTTGTGGACAAATAGATGACAAATAGATAAGTGTCAACGACCTGATGTTGTAAACACGCGAAAACCAAGACAAAGAATGGGCCAGGGTAGCACAGTGACATCAGGAAGCTCAAGACAATGCGCCTTTACAATACTACTGCTTTATGAATTTTAACGCTCTACGCTTCGCTGAGAAAGCATTTTTAGTTGCGAATTATGAGGTTTATAACTGTGAAAATAAGATATACAGTATATGAGTTTGACATTTAGGGCCCGGCCGGGATTTAGGGTTTTGGGCGTCTTGTCAGGAGGGGTGTTCTCTCTCTCTCTCTCTCTCTCTCTCTCTCTCTCTCTCTCTCTCTCTCTCTCTCTCTCTCTCTTTCTTGGCGTTAGTTAACGCGGATCTTTTTTCTTCTTGCCGAGGACTCAGGTATATGAATACCCCGACATCATTACCATAGCTACCAGACAAGGAATCTCAGTGATAGCCGTCACCCCTGTGCAGCCCTTCATTTAAATCCCCTTAGAAGTCTAAAGATATTCAGAATCACATCAAACCAAATTGAAATAGCAGGGCGACAGATTACACCAACATTTACTTAATGTCTATTGCAGTGTTTGTAGGTCGTCTCAGAGCACGCCAAATTTATTACATTTCATGAGCAGTCGTGATCCAATTAAGCATTGTTAAAGCTACCCTCTTTTAGGGGACTACAATAGAGTGTTGATTACATTCATAATCGTCAACAAACATTGGAGATCTCGGCCAATAACAGACTAGAATTTATAGCGTYCTTTATAGAGGGATTTAAAGTAATCAAAGATCCTAACGTCTGTCAGTTCTTGCTCAGAAGAGGGTACGATCATGGACGACTCGCCTACTCTTTCCATGTTTACTGACATGGACTTTGATAAGTATGGAAACGAAGGGAAATCTGATGATGAAGATATTGGATATCAGTCTTTGGGACGAAACATCAGGGTAAGCTTACGAGAGAACTTTGAATTCTTTTAGCATCAAAAAGACTCTGTCTTACTGATAGTAGAGCTTAAGAGCTAAATTATTAAGCCCTGTGCAGAGAAAGACGCTGAGTTTTAAAACGTAGCTCGTATGAAAAAAACTTAGAAAACTTTWGAAAGGAATTTTGACAACACCCTCCAAATGCGCACGCTTTTAAAAGTGGGAAATAAAATTTACCACTGGTTTAAAAAACTTTTGCAAAGTTTCACTTTGCATAACTGTTCCAGTCGCCCGTAGTATTGATATCTCTGTGTACTTTGTTGTAAAAACAAACTCGTTATTGATTACATATTCATGCAGATTCCACTTTCTGTAGACATTGCGTGGGAACGGAGTTTCAATTCGACTTCATCTGCAGTCCGACACGGTGCACAAGAAAGCTGTACAACTTAGGCTTGTTAGACATAAGTTGCGCAACTTTACCAAGCAAAAAAATGGCGATTACGGCGATGGTGCATCATGACAAACTAAGAAGTATATTTCAGACATTTTAAGTACGCATTCATATACTTAATATCTCAAATCACAGTCTGTATTCATTTCATTTTATTTGCAGTTTTTTTTAAAGAAATTCAATCGAAATTTTTTTCTACATATTACTATTGATCCGCTCAATTCCTAACTGTTCAAAACTTTGCAATTCTAAAAGTAAATGTTATTGGTATTTCAGTTTTTCTACGAATTTTGTCGCAAAGAAAAAGCTTGCGTTTTAGCACAAGACTGTAGTATTTTTTTTGGTGGAGATTTGACCTATTTTAGCCTGGCTTGGTCAAATTTTTCACCTCTGAAATATCAACTGGTTTCCAAGGGTTTGCATAATTTATGTGTGAGCAAAAAAGATTTGCTTAGCAGGCACTCGTTTGAGCTCAGTAAAGTACCTTTCCTGCTGACTGAAAAGTCTTCTTTTCTTTTCCTTTGGCTGGGGATCAGCATTCGAGGGGAAATACCGTTAATTCCAGCGAAAAAAAGAATCTGCCAGCAGGAAGCGAAGTATTTCGATAAACTCGTTGGAATTTTTTTTGTGTGTGTARAGAGAGTCAATGTATTTTTGAAGTAGTTAAAAATTGAAGTGTTCATCAGTGTTCTTGGAAGAAAACACAAAAAGAGTTAAAAACAAGAAGAGTTAATAAATAGTTATGAATTTTTAACGTTTTATTTTGTAATTATTCATAAGTTCACCAGTTCTTGGAAGAAAACCCCAAGAAAATTATTAAAGAAAAAAAGAAAAAAAAAAGTTGATCAATAGTTATGAATTTTCTGCGGCTCATTTTGAAATTATTTATAGACTTTATCATTAACTTTATTCAATTCATTAACCTGTCTTTGCTATTCGCAATTATAATCAACCTGCAGATAAAATTTCCAATTTAATTTGTAAGTTAAAGTTGAAAAAAATTATAACCAAAATAGGTTGAAAAAAAATTAAGTGCAAGGTACGAAAAATAAATATTCCTGCATTTTTTGTGGCCTTTAGAAACAACGTTTTGTTGGGCATAATTATAAAGTTTCAAGTTAAATTTTCAAACCAAAGTCGAAAAAAGTTACAACTAAAATTGGGTTGAAAATTTTGTGCAAGGAAAAAACTCATGAATTTTTTGTTGCTTTAAAATAAATTGTTGTTGGACAATTAAATTTTGCATTTAGTTTTAATGCTAGTTGTTAATGTTTTTGCAGTGAAACACTGCATGGAGCTTTCGTTATTATGGTGTTAATATTTAATACCCCCTACCTTTGCACTAGAATATATCCTACTAAGCATGGCTAGATTTAAAATATATGGAATTATTAATATTCCTTCTACAGAAATTTGCACAAACGTTCTAAAAATTAACTGGGGAAAAAGATGTTTCTCTGTTTTTGTTTTGAAATGATATTTTATCATTTTAATTTGCTGTCAATCATGTATGAAAGACAAAAATTACTTAAAGCCAAAGAGATTTACTTTTTCAAAACAAAAACACCAGGACCTGTCAAATGTAGAATCGTTTTTTCATGTTATTAAAATGAATTATGAGGCTTCAATGTTGACATTTTTTAGAGAAGTTAAGTGTGGTATTGAGAGTTAATGGTATTCAATATAACGTTTTACCTCAATAGTGCTTCGATCAGGACTCATTCATCCAGTTTTTAAAGAAAAACATTCACAAATTTTGCATAAAAACAAGCCTTTGTTTTTTAATAAAATCTCACAAAGACTTACTTTAAAATTTTTCGAAGGAAATTAAATCTTATTTCTACTGAATGTTTTTTATGTTAATGTTTAAAACCGACTAGAAGTCAAAAAGTGCAGCCATTTGTTTATAGACAGTTGTCATGACAATCAAGCCGAAGACTCCTGGTTGTGCTGGGGGTGATTATATAATTATCTATATTGATCTTATTATCACCACAGCCTTTCATAGTTAATCCAGGACTTAATTTAGTATGCTCAGCCATGCTTACAGTACAATGCCCTACACTGACACAATAAAAAATTCAACATTTTTAAMGTGAATTTTTGACTTCTTAAGCTAAACCTTTCAACTGCAAGCAAACCGGAAAAAGCTGCTAAATCCGGAAAAATACCACGTCCGCAGCATCCTACCAAAAATAAAGAAAATTAAACAAAGTACTAAAGAATACGTTATCGATCTTGTAAATCACTGTTGAGGTAATTTTGGAGTAAATTAGTTTTGAGCAACAAAGATCAGAAGTGTGTCTTTATTTTGCTGATGTGAACGATTGTACACTCCTCTCACAGAAGCTCTTATTTTTGCAACTTTTTTACTGAAAGAAAAATAACCATTTTACCAATGCATGAACTGATTTAATTTAGTCGAGCCATAACAGGCTTTGGAAATCTTTGGTCATAAAAGTTAATGTAAGTTATGTTAGCTTTAATAAGAAAAGCTTGGGGGAGCCATGCAGTGAAATATGTCTAGTGACTTGCACGACTGCATAAAAAGTTAGAATTTAGTCTTCACTCCATCATAAATGTCATAAATAATAGGTGAAACTAAACTATAAAGCTGCTTCTCAGCGACATCAGGTCCCAAGCCAGCAAACCGTGAACAAGTTTTCATAAGTTTTTGCCATCATAAACATAAGCTGCACAAGGCTCTTGTTAGTTCAACGATAGCAATTTAGYAAATCAACAAAAAATCAGTTAATTTTCTAGCATAGGCAAGCTACTTTTTCCTTATCGCAAGGCCAAAGAGATGTTTAATTTTCAATCCTAACCACTTTTGTGCAGAGTTTATGCGTCTTGATAAGTGAAGAGTCGCGGAGTACACCAAGCACACGCAGGGTTATCAATAAAGCTATAAACTAAGGACTTTTTTCATGAAAAATAATTTCATAACGCGATGAGAAAAGCTACCAAATCGTTCGTCTCCATGACGATATCGAGTCGCGTGTGTTTGCCAAATCAAAGCTTGAAATAGAACTGGATTTGAGCTAGCCTTGTACTCCGTTGTACCTCGATACTTTCAAAAGCTCACGAACTGACCAATCAGAGGTAACGCTTTGTTGACTGAACTTTAAGCGTTTGCTCTGTTTGTAAACGATCAACGAACTCGAAAATCAGCTGAGCTGGATCAAGAGCGCAAGCAAGACGGGGAGTAGGACAGAGTTCTTTTTCTACTTTTTACGTCTTTTAACTATAGGTAAGTTTTGATGCCAAATATTATCATATTTTACAGAGTAGAAAAACTTCCCGAAGCCGACCTGAGATTGAAACGGCTTAGAGATTTATTCATCGCTAAAAATGCGAACGGGAAGCTTAAGAGGAAGTTTGTTAGATTTATACATACTTGATCTTTTTCGCCATTAAACCTAAAAGCAATTGGGTTGAATTTTTCTAATAAATTCATGTGACGCCCTTTCCTAGACTGTTGAACTTTACCCAGAAAGCTGGCTAAGCCTCGAATAACATCAGTTTATCGCCAAGCTATCATTTTTTTCACCTTTACATTTGACTGCGCCGTTTTTCATCCACAACTGTATGTCAAAGGATTACAATATAATCCCTTTTGTTAATACTGTCCGACCTAAAACAAGATTTTTAGGGGCAAATTAGAGCAAAGGGTTCGATCTTCGATGCTAATTAGACCATTCAAAATAAAAACTCAGCTGAGGTAAAATTAGGCCAATATTTCTTTATTAATGCAAAGAAGAAGAAAAAGTATTTTGTTTAAAACTTTTGCATTAATCTGGYTTACTTTCTGTCAATTACTTGACTCTTTCGAAATCTGCAACACAAGGCACTTTATTGGCTTCCGTCTGGAATGCTTTGATTGCTGCAATTAACAGGCTTCCCTGCAGTTTTCTGGCTTTTCTGGCTTTTCTGCTCATAAATGGCTTCCACACGCAATTTTTTCTTTCACAAATACCAAAGGCTTGTAAAAAACAAATTTTCTTGGATACTTTTTTAAGTAGATTTGAATTTCTGAAATAATATTTTTCGCGTTTGACTGCATTTTGATGTTCGAATTAGAATCTTMAACAGCTGTCAAGTTCAGTTTAGAACAAAAAAGCTTCTTACGCCACTTGGATATAAATTAGAGGTTAACAGATTAATGAATTTCTTTGCATGTCTTGTTTTAACAATAAGTCTCATTTGCTATATTTTACTAAAGATATGCTTTAAATTTCGCAATAATTTTTGTTAAATCAGTGTATTTAACTTATAAAATTCTCCTGGGAATTGCGCTTTTTAGTTCATTTTGTGTGCTTTGGTGTGAATTATGCTGTAGTGGTCGTAATAATAATTTCCAATGTTGTCCATTTAACACATCAGTCAAAGAGACAGTATCGTATCTTTTGAAACTTTGTCGTTCTGTTTCAAATTTCTCTCTCGTTTTGACAACACTGGAATTCCTAGATATAATATATCGTTGTATTTGCAAGCTATCTGTCAAATCATAACTCAAGTTAGCCTTGTAAAAGACGGCTTAGCAATAACATGAATAAATACACATTAGAAGAGCTAACAGTAGGCTCCAATATTTAGGAAGCTCGTATTTTTTAGATGAAAAACGCAGAAAAAAATTCAGAATTTGAGCCAAAGAATACGAGTGCATTCGACTAATGAGTAATAAGAGTAAATCGTTTTACAATAGAAATTTGTGTGCAACAAAAGCCTTGTTTAGTTTTGTTTATTTTGTCGGCTTCAATTTACACTAATTGAACATGACCAAGCGTCCTGTTTCTATAGCAACGTCCATCCATCTCATGGCGTCGCGTCTCTGCATAGACTRTTCATTATCGTATACTATTTTAGAGGATCTAGGTCAAAGGAGGCTCTGTAAGACCAAAGACATAACAAACTGCTTCCAAATTCTGTCCAATTAAGAGTCATTTAAAAAAATAATAATTTCGGTTGAGAAGTCAGAATAATTAAGGTAGCTCGGCAAGACGAAACAGCTGAATTCGAACAAAGAATCGCGGGAGACCTGTGTGTAAAAGGTTGTTGAAACGAAAGCTTGAGTGGCCGGCATCGAGGAAGAAGTATTATGCAAAAATGAGTTATCTTAGAGGCTCACCTTACGATTCCTCTTCAGAACCTGGTCTAAGTTCAGTAATCAAGGTTCGTAGAGTTTCATTTTGAAACGCTCAAAAATATCGAACTTGACAACAACACATGTGGAGAGAAAACGAACTGTTAACTCTCAAAAACTCCTAAATAGTTCCTTATTATTAACACCGATTGCTGTATTTCTTGCAGAAATTAGAAGAACAACATCTGAACGGTGATCCAGGCACCAAAAGCCCCACAGTTCCGACTAAAATACGCGATATTGTGAACAAATCCATCTCGCCTGATCCCAAAATGGCGGGCACATCTCCATCTTATGGTGGTCTTGGAGACGACTCTCGCATGCTGCAGTCTGAAGTAAGCCGRCTAGAAGATCTTTTAGCAGCCACTCGAGCCGAGAGAGATGAAATTGGGTCTAAATACATGGCTGTTAGTGAAAGAGTGAGTATTTTTATAAAAGTTTTGGGGTAAAGATTTCTACGAAATGGCTTGTGCTTGAGATATAAGCTACTATATACTCTATTCTAAACTTGAGTAGATAAGGTTATCTAGAAGGTCAGAAACGATTGCAATATTTCGCAATGTTCTTCAATACATATATCTAGTATCGCAACTTGAGATTACAATCGCTCAAAAAATACGATTCATAAAGTTAAATTTAAAAAAAAAACACCCAAAAAAAACTTTGGGAATGTTTATATTTGCATGGGTGTTTGACAGACTTCCCACAAATTTTTGTTTTTGATCTTTGAAATCTTTCAAGAAAAATAATAAATRTCTCATTCCTCGTTGGAAAAGATAGAGAGACGCTAGAATTTTGAATATTTTATCCTCATGTAAATAMCCCTTGACAAGTAAGCAAACAACTGAAGCAATCCTAAAGGCTAGATATATCTGGGATTAAACATRTATTCCTATCTTGAGATTAGGACAAAAATATATATGTGTACCTTATTAAAAGAAGTAGGTTGAAACACTTTGTATTTAAGGGTAACATTTCTTCAATTTGATACAATTTGTGTGAGGTCAATTATACYAAATTCTTTCGTAACTACAAAATCTTTGAACATCTCATTGTTGCCAAGAGGAAGTTGAAACACATTCATGATCTTAGAAGTCTATAAATGATTCAATATTCATTTTATATTCCCATTCTTAACAAAAAATATGATCATTTCTGATTTCAGCCAAGAACGATAAATTTTATCAATTTCTACTTYCCATACTTGTCAATGTTGCCACTTCTAATTATGTTTTTTACTTATAAATAATATTTATTAACTTTTGTTAATTATTGTTGCATTTCCATTATTGTTTTGTCATTTGAATACAAATGTCATTTTCCCTCAAATAAATTTAATTTCAAAAACAAATATTTTCAGAAGAAATATGTCCATTCTAATTTTCTTCATAAATTTTAAATAATCAATGAGAGTGTTATTAGAAACCACTTCCTGATACAAGAAAAAAATAGATTTTWAAAAAAGAAAATTTCACTCTTGTATGAAGTTCCAGCACACTTCCAGCACAAAAGAAATTAAAATTTTAGAATCTTATTTTTGAAGGATCTAAACATATGACATCCTGAATATAACAATTTTTCTTGTTTTTTAAGTTTTCTCTCTTGGGTGATAGACTACATTGTCTTCTCTGGCAACTAATTTATTCATTGAAAGCTTTTAAAAGTGTTTATCTTTGTGGTCAATAATGAACAAAAATAGTCTGTGTTCTATAATAGATGAAGAGTATAGGAAGAGGTTTATGGTTAAGGCTGCAAAAGTTTTTCATAACAGATTTATGCTATATCTTAATCCAATCCAGGCTATAAAAATATTGCTGAATTCCATTGACTAAATCCCCTAAGAAAGCATAACAGATTTATTCTAGATCTTAATCCAATCCAGGCTAAAAATATGGCTGAATTTCATTGACTAAATCCCCTGAGAAAGCCTGTAGTTTCTAGGTTTAAAACTTAAACTTATATCTTAAAACTATCACACCTAGATGATGTATATGATGCTCGAGGGGCTCTTCCATTCTCCACACTTACTACCAATACATATGCAACAACACACAACATTTAACTCACATGTTGATTATTATTAAGCCAGAGTGGTTTTCACTAGCAGTGCATGGAGCAGATACCATGAACCTAAACAAAAGTTTTGTTTTCACTACAAAAGAAACACGAAGATATATAAGCACACATACATGCACAAGTATCAAAATTTGGATGCTTGTGCAAACTTGTGCTTGCTTATGGCAAGGGAGAGAACAACACATCAAACAAACTCCACTCACAATCAAGAATTAAACACAAGTAAACTTAAAAACTAAATCCTACAACTGTTTTCTATTTACTATAGCTTGAACAACACATAAAGGGAGGTGGAAGCCCTGAAGCATCCCCCAGCAAATATACTGCGATATCTCCATCAGTAGCTGACAGCGTCATGGGTAGTCCCACATCAGAGGGTAGCAATTTGGTACAGCAGGTTGCCTACCTGAAGAGCAAACTTGAGGAAGAACACTCAAATTACAAGAGAAAGTTACAGGCATATCAAGATGGACAGCAGAGACAGGCACAACTGATACAGAAACTCCAACAAAAGGTATGATTTTGAGCAATTTTTGTATGTATATTGTATATGGCATACTACAAAATGATGTACAATAACTTAGCCTGAAGCGAGATGACGTTTTACCCCCAACTCTATACCATGATAGTTTTTAAAATTCTTTCATATTAAAATTTTTGACTCAGAGAATACAGGAACAATAGTCATAATTAAAGAACAAAAGCAGTGTGAAAAGGATTATGGTCTAGAGACRGGGGTAAAATGTCATCTCGCTTTAGGCTTATTTAACAATTATATATATATATGACCAATTTGGAGCAACTGTGGATATGTTCGTTTTACATAAAAAATGTTTTTCTTCAATATTTTGTTCAAAATGTGATGACCRAGCATGTTTGTCCAAAAATCTAAGTTTAAAGTGAAGACTGTTTCATTTATCCGAAGAATGGAGATTTAGAGGATTTTATGAGGATTTAGAAAATCTTTCGATTCCAAAAGATGTTTCTCAAATTTGCTTGAATGACCATGCATTTTTCTTTCCTCCTCAAAGATCGACTTATAATTCTAATTTGACCTATTGGTAGTTTTATCAAGCTGGCTGCAAAATTTGTTAGGCTTTCCGTCCACCATGAAGTAATAAATCCAATCTGATGCTAAAACCATGATTTAGAGTTTGACTTGATTTTTTTTTTTTTGCATACAAATACTACATTGCATCAAGTCAAACATAAACTTGGAACAAAGATATTTCAATTTTTCTGTATATTTTAGTCAAATGTATGTCATACTTAATCTTTTTCTTTGAATATTAACCATTTAATTTATATATCAGGTATTGCAATACAAGAGAAAATGTGGTGAACTGGAGAACAGTATGAGTGAGAAGAGTAGTGCTGAAGAACTTGCCAGAAAAGAGGTAACTTGATTCAAATTTATTGTTCTTTGGTTATATTCACAAAAGTCAGTATCTCCTGATGAAATATTCATATATCTTAACAGAAGAATAAATTATGCTTTTAAGAACTATGGATCTAAAGAGTCCCTTTTTTTTCAATTGTATATAAACTTTAGACTGAAGAACTATTGCCAATAAAAGGTTATATGTCTTGCAGGCTACAGCAAAGTCTTGCACGGTCAGACCTTTTCATAGTTTTTTAATGGAGTTAAGATTCAAACAGCTGGTGTTATTGCCAATAAAAGGTCTTGTCTTGCAGGCTTTTAGCAAAGTCTTGCACACTGTCAGACCATTTTATAGTTTTGTAATGGCAGAGAATAATAATAATAATAATAATGTTTATATCCAGGGGGCTCACATTTTCAGTGAGGCCCTTCACATCACATTCAGACACCTAGTGTTAAATACCAATTTAAAACATTTATATTCCACAGTTGAAGAATGTGTCAGATAGTTTGAAAGAGAAAGAGGCACGGCTGAAGGAGTCTGAAGAAGAAGCAAGCAGTGATCTTGAAAATGCTCTCATTAGACTGGAAGAAGAACAGCAAAGGTATTTATCTTCTTTCAATAGCTTCCTGCTAATAGCTCCCTGGTAGTTTTGGCTTTGAATAACCTTAAAACAGAGCAGTGATAGAGAGAGGGGGTTAAGAGTAAACTGTTTGCTTTCAGGAAGATCAGCTCTAAGTACATGCTTGTTACTTGAGCTCAAGACAAGTCAGAAAAGGGGTAATTTAGAGACATAAGTCCTGTCATCAAAAATTTACAATATAAGTTGTTAGGGGCAATGGCATAAGGTTGTTACACTGTAATAAACTTTATGCTGTTGCCGCCAACAACGATCTACTTTTAACAGCAAAACTTATTTCTCTAAGCTATTTCATTTCTTAATCAAGTCGTAAGCATAGTAAATGAACAATCAATGAACATGGTTTTAGGTATACAATAATATTAATTTTATTATGATATTAATAATGGCTTTTCTTACCATCACAACAGGAGTGCTAGCCTTCAACACGTGAATAATATGATCCGTGAACAACTTGACCAGGCCACCGCAGCCAATCAGCAGCTGTCGCTTGAGATTCAGAAGCTGACATCTGACTGGAATAAGGCAAGAGAGGAGCTGGACAACAGAGATGAAGAAGAACAGGCGTACTTCACAAATGAACACGCTCGGCTTATGGAGCTGTGGAAGACACTGAATGGCTTTAGACGTCAGTTTAATGAAATGAAATCTGCCACTCAAAGGTTAGTGCAAAATAAATAAAATTGCCGTTGTTTTTCAATGGCAGCATTTAATAGCCAGTGGCTGACAAACCTGTGGCCCTCCTTCCATGATCAAATTTGAATTAAGAAGTTGGTTTTTATGGAGAGAGGAAAACCTAATGAGAAGCTGGAGAAAAACCCTAAAAGAACTGGAAAGAACCATTAACCAACTCTATTTGTGTTTGATACTGAACTTGTCCAGTTGTTAGATTAAAACCTGGGTTGCATTGGTGAGAGTCGAGTGCTGTCACCCACCCATACTTCCTTTACTTTACTTTGTAACCAAACTATATTACTGTTAAGCATTAGCTCCTCTAACTTTTTAGTACGCTTTTTAGCTTATTTGTGTGTGTGTGTGTGTTTTTTTTTTTACTTGTCAAAGAAGATAAAGTTTTGGTACAACACTAACATTGATATAATATAGATAGCCATAACCCCATGTTTTCTGTACTAAAATTTAAGTATCTTTTAATTAGGGACCTGTCTATGGTGCGTGCTGATGTCAACAAGTCTGTCCGTGTTGTTCAAGGAGCCTGCATGGACCTCGACAAAAACCTCCGTGGCATGGATCAGACAACCCAAGCAGCTCTTGAGGAAGAACGATCCAGAAGGCAAAAGGTAGGAAATCTCATCCAAATATCATGTAGGATAAATGTCGGATAATAAACGGGATAATATATTAGTTATTAGTGTGAGTGTCGTGTAGCTAAATTTAAGTATTCTATCATGGCTGAAATAGTGGCAAGTCATTGGACAATGTCGGCCAGAATTGGAACTTGTCTCARGGGCAGATCCAGGGAAGGTTCCTGGGTCCTCTTTGTGTCCCTACTTCGAAGACAACCAAAACTGTTTTTTCCCTTTGATTCTAAGGGTCCACCCCTCCCTGGGTTAATTTTGTGCGCAGCACCCCTCCCTGAACAAAATCCTGGATCCACCCCTGTTGTCTTGTCGAATCTTTGCTCCTTACTGGTTATTTTGACCAGTAAAATTGAGCAACAAATGAGGTATGACCGAGCTAAAACTAATTTTGGCTAGTAATTATAACCATCTACTGACCAGTCGTTATTTTAGCTTTGCCTATGTTACACTTAAAGTTTTCCAATCTTTTTAAAATCTTTCCCGTGGTTTGTCTATTTAGGCTGAGGAGCAGTTACGTGACAAAGTTAATGAACACATGCAACTGCAGAGTAAATATGAGAACGAGAAGGCTAACCTGACATCGAAGTAAGTATTGTGTCGTATATTTTATGTATATTTTAACTGCTACTGAACCTATATGGGGCTCCTTCGTGAGGTTTGCTCCCCACGCAATACTAATATATAAACACCACTCAACTCACCTGTTGATTTTTGTGGAGGGAGAAAAATCGGAGTACCCCAGCCATCTTGTAGCAAGGGAGAGAACAGAACATCAAACAAACTCAACTCATGTGCCTAGTTGAGGCTAGAACAGGCATCCGCAGGCTTGAACTACACAGCGATGATTGACACCACCATAGTAACATATGCCACYATTTCCTTTGCTATGTTTGCTCTGAATTCATTGGCTGAAAGCCATAAATAGCATGACAATGAGAGCTGTTGTTTCTGCTAATAATCCCGCAATAGCACTTTTTCCTTAAATTCGCAATTTATTATTTTCAACTAGGCTTGAAACCCTTTCTGACATGAAGGAGAAGCTCGAAGCTCAATTGGACGAAAAGTACCAAGAACTTGAACACACTCGCAAGCAACTGAGAAGCACGGTAAGATTTTGATTCCAACAACATTGATGCAATATTATTGATTAAATGGTATAAATTGATAGTGAAATAGGAAGAATACATGATTTATTCTGTGTTAATCCAAGGAAATATATTAGAGTGAAGGCATTTAACCCGTGCAATAGATATTAGACTAATACACTTTAGTAGACCCTAATTCCATTGTTTTCTTTTGTGTCTTTTTGACTATTACACGTTGACTAGTATTTTTTATTTGACGGGTTAAATGCCTTCGCTCTAGCTTTTATTAATTTTTTCAATAAAATATAAAAAATAAGAAAATTAAAATTATTTGAAACGATTGTGAAACAATGATTATGACAATAGACCAGTTTCGAATTCCAAATTACCGCTGTGTTCCTTGATCACAGACTCATTTACACAGGGTTAGCCTCGTATCAGTGTTTAAATATTCACAAATACCAACAGAAAAGTAAAGAATGCACAATTTCAACAATACAAGCATTTTGAAACTCGACRAACCTTGACTGGAACACATGAATATTCTGCACAAACTCGAGGCTAACCCTGTGCAAACGAGTCTGTAATCAAGAAACACAGCAGTAATTTGGAATTCGAAAAAGGTCTATTAGATGAATATTAAATTATAAGAGTTTAGTATCAATTATTTTGAAATAAGTAACAAACAAATGGCTCATAAAGATTATTCATTTATTCCATTATCAGATAATCATGATTATAGTTATCAAAATCAAAATGTAAATTATTTATAAATTATGATGAATAAAGAAAATTGAYGAAGAATTTTCAGAGATTTCTTTTACTGCTTTAATGGTAACTGCTGACATAATTGCCTTTATTGCTTGTGCCGTTGATTGTTGTCACTGCTGCTGCTGMTGATGATGATGATATTGGTGTTGTTAATGATGTTGGTGACGAGAATGGTGATGACCAATGCTGATTATGGTAGAGTTATTGGTAGTGGTTGGGATGTTCATGAAGTTGGTGGTGGTGGTGATGATGATGGTGATGATAATGATGATGGTGATGGTGATGTTGGTAGTGGTAAAGATAATGGTGGTGGTGATGATAATGATGATGGTGATGGTGATGTTGGTAGTGGTAGTGATAATGATGGTGATGATGATGGTGATGATG